CATTGTTAATGATAGGATTGCAAACTGCAAAGTTTTGACAGCCCCAAGATTTTAGTCACAAAGGTTGACATGATTTTTGTTCAGGTGGCAGGAGTATAAAGCAAAGCTGAGGCTGTCACTGAAAAAAAAGCAGGAGTCATTCAAAGAGTGATTATGATACCGTAGAGCTGACCTTGAGAGAAAGATTGCTTCCTGTTAACTTTACAGCTTTATCAGTGCCTGCCCTGACAGTCTGATGAATGACATGCTACAGGGCTGACTTTACCTCTCTCAGCCTGGACTAGTTTTTTACCCTTTCACCAGTAACAGAGGCCCAAGCTCTGCTCAGCTGATCCCCAATGACCCAGCCTATGGCGAGGCTTCTCTAGGCCAGCCCCCAGGTTCCTAACATAACCAGGGAAGCGTAGGGATGGGGTTTGGCTCCAGAAGTCTTTATCCACCTTCAAAGCCATTTGAGTGACAAACTTGTGAGCAAAGTAAGGTCTTTAGAGGAACCTTGGTAACTAGTACTTAGGAAGCAGTGCTTGGGAAGATGGTAGGACAAATTTTCTAAGCATCATGGGACATACACCGATCATCCATCACTTTAATATGGGCCTGGAGGACACATAGGTCAAATTGCTTAAGAATCTCCAAACCTCAATTCATAGGCCAACCATGCTCCATTCACTGCTTTACTTGAGTTGTCCCGCACTCCCCTTCCCTCCCCTATAGTGGAGTGAACCAATTTCAGTGAAACTCAGATCTTGCATTAGTATGGTAACAGTGAGCTCACAGATCAAGGATCTTGGCAATTCATCAAGGAGACGGTTACACTTCAATAACCTACAGTCACCACCCATGGACCCAGAGGCTCCAAGAGTGTGGTTTCCATCCTCATTTGTTGCAAATGACACAAGAGTAAAGGGTTGAGGACTCCCCACCTCACATAATTGGGGAGGGGGGGCAGGCAGACAGAAAGGGGGAATAGGAAGAGAACTCACACTGCCTGTATCAGAGGGCCTTCCTCTCTGGGGATTCACCTAATTTCTTTTCAGCTCCAGACAGCTGACTTTTGGAGTCAGACAACTCTACAAGAAACCAACTCACTATAGGAAGAAATGGGCTATTTCCCCAGCCCTTGTTTGTCTTTGCCCCACTACCTTTGCAGAAAGAAAAAGGGGCCCATGGAAAATGCCAAGATGTTAGTACCTCAAGAGAATTTGTGATTATTTTGGTTTTGCCATCCTTCTACCCACTCGATACCTCTAGATTTGGGGTTTTGATGTTCCAACTCATAAGGAGTATCACATCCCACTGCATGTGTCACTCCAGGTTACTCTCAATCCAACTCCTAAGGATGGCAAAATGAAGGCAGTCATTCATAGTAGTGGGTCATCATTTAAGGATCATCATGGGAGACTATCTTCTTGGGGCAGAAGTTTAAAGCTTTAGAGTTTATGAGGATGACCTGAAGGACTTGTCAAAACATTACTGGGACCCACTTTCGAGTTTCCAATTCGGTAGGTCTGGGGTGGAACTTGGTAATTTCATTTCTAACAAGGTCGCAGGGGATGCTGATGGTGCTATGGACCAGGGACCACATTTTAAGAGCCACTACTTCTGGGGAAATGTCTCATCTGAGAACAATGGTAGTAGACCAAATACACTGGGGGACAGGAAGACTTTGGGTAAGTGGGTTTTTTTTAATACTCTTCCATTAAGGAAGTAGGGTCTTTGTCCTTTCCTTTTGAATCTAGGTGGGCTTTTGATTGCACGGACCAATAGAATGCTGTGGATGTGATGCTGGGTGACTTCCCAGGCTAGATCATCTACAGCCGAGCAGCTTCTTGGGACACTCATCCTAGGGGAGAGCAGCCATCATGTAAGAAGCCCAACTACCTTGAGACTGCCATGTTGGGTTCTGGTTGACGGATCCAAATGAACTTGCTTCCAGCCATCCCCACCATGGTGCCAGAGATGTAAGTGAAACTAGTTCAGACTCTCCAGTCCTGCTTCTCTGCCACCTAAGTTAACACTGAGTGACCTCAGTGGAAGCCCCAAGGAGAATCGCCCAGCCGAGCTCTATCCTAAATCCTAACCAACAGATTCCATGAGATAAAATGGTTGTTGTTTAAGCCACAAAGTTTTAGGGTAGTTTGTTACTTAGCAATAGATAACAGTGCTTTAGGTTGGAAAGGTTAGAAAGGAAGCAAACCACTCTGGACAGGGCAAAGCGCCAAGTCCAGAGGAGCTGCTGGCTTGCGTTTGGTGCCCTCTGCAGGATCCATGAATACAAGTTGGCCTTAACTCCTACATGGACTTTTATTTATCTGGCTAGGAGAAAAGCCAGGCAGAGAGGGGACTTAAGTCATTGTATGGCCCAGTGTTCTCAACCATGATGGGGATGTGGAGTATATACAGGTTGTAGAATGACTGCAACAACCACTCTAATTCTCACACCTCCCTGTATCCACACCTTTCTAACATACTTTGCTACTCCTCCCATCAGCTGGTGAAATGCAATGTATTTGCCCAACCCCTTGATTCTGAACTTGATCTTGTGACTTGCTTTTGGCCAGTGACATGTTAGCAGTTGTGACAGAGGTAGTGGTGTTCCGTCTCTCACTCTAGCACCTCTGCCTTTGTCATGACAATATGCCTATGCTAGGCTGGCCAAGGCCATCCTCGATCAGCTGAATCCGTCAAGACATATGGAGCCCAGTCAAGACCAGGCTGTCCAGGAACACCCAGTCTAAATCACCAATCCAGACTTGTAAGCAAAATAAATGTTTATTTTAAGCCACTGAACCCTGGGATGCTTTGTTACATATCATTGTAGCGGCAATACTTAAATGAGGATCAAACTCCCTTAACTGATGAAGGTACACTGCAGTGTCCCCAGAGTCCTCATTCAAATCTAACTCCTATATCCCCCTGAAGAAATGGGAGCCAATTACAGAATAAGCAGCAGAGGATTCCTAGCCTAGTTCTCTTAATGTGTAATTGTAGTCAGTCCAGATCTATGGAGCACCCATTAGGAGAAAGATAGCAGAGAATTAAAAAGGGAATATGGTCAATGCCCACCTAGAAGTTTATAAACTATCTGGAGCCAAGACCTCAAGACTGATGTAGGCATGTGGAATGGGAGCAGGGAGCAGGGTCACTTCCAGCCAGTGAGTGTGCATGTGTGTGTGTGTGTGTGTGTGTGTGTGTGTGTGTATATATATATATATATATATATATATTTTTTTTTTTTATGGCATGGCACCATAGGTGGAAGGAATCTGGTGAGCTAAAAGACTAGGATATGTCTAGGGATTCAGTTTAACCCCTCTATGGTTTTCAGATTCAAAGCTAAGCTGCCTTTCCAGACCAAGTAATGGCCTCAGATGCCATGTGGCTCACTAAAGACCACCTTTAGTTTTGAACTTCACACTTTTTAAAACTGGGGTGTTTATCCTAATGATCATAAACACCAAATTAAAAAGGAATCCATTTAGATAAGCTTAAGCATAAAGGATTCTTAATAGAACCCTACATTTTTCATTGATCTCTAGGTAACAAAAGAAAATCCACCAAGACATGAAGTGTATTGCTGACCTTTTTTTTTTTACTTAAATATAGTGATCTTTAAGAGAATAAACCAAAAAAACTTTACACAGCAAATATTTTACATAAATGTAAACATGCACATCTACTTCATAATTATGCAAAATAAACTTTTAGGCACAAGATTTTAAAAGTCATTAAAGAATAAGACAATAAACCCAAGACAGGACAGAAGCGACAAAAACACACATTTCATAACGCTTCAATTGGTCTTGTCTTCCAACCTACCGGTTAAGGCCTGAGTTTCAGAAATCCTACCTTCCTTGCCAAATGGAAACATCCAATTTGGCTGTACCTAATATACATCCACATAACAGACTATTATCTTTCAAAATAATGTAATAAATACATCACACACACACACACACACACACACCCTACTTAATCAGCCTCTCAATTAGGATAGCAAAGATTTTGGAATCTTCAAGTTTTCCCACCACTGAAGCACATACATATTAATACCACACACAGAAAAATGATTCTGGTATAGAAATAAAATAGTTAATGAGTGGCATCATCACAAATCTCTAGTTTGTATTAAGTTTCCCCAAATCACATCTTTATTGTGGCTTGCTATGGCTTCTTGGGTACCTCAGATTTAAGTCTTTATACCTTACCTAATGACTCACGGGATGGTAGTCATAGAGGACGAAGAAAAGGCAATTTTAACAATTCAGTTAAGAGACTTCAAAAGCATGAAAATCAGCACGGATCATTTTCACCTGTCTCCAAATGCTTGGAATGTTTTCTCCATGTCTACCCTCTGTACTCCACTGGTTGGTTTTCTCTGCCTCCTCCCCACCAGGCTATAAGCATCTGAATGTCTATTCCTGTGGACACCCCAGGGAGTAGTGATGAGAATGACAGACAAGTCTCTGCTCTTAAGGAGTTCACAGCAACCAGAGCTCAAGCAAGAGGAAGGTCAGTACTTATGCAAAGCACTCCAGTGGGCTGAAACAGAGTCCACGAAGATGGCACCTATAGAGCATCGGGCCTGAGGCCTGACGGGGGAGAAGGGAGGGAGAGACTGAGAAGGCACAGAGGCATAAAGAACAAGTCCAAGGAGGTTGGTACAAGCTTACTCATGAGAAGTAATCTATGAGGCCAAATTCTTGATTTCTGAAAAGAAAAGATTCCTTGTTCTGGTGGGTAAAGGTGGAGGGTGGGGAGAGGGAACCACCGAAGGCTTTGTGCAGAGAACTAACTGGAAGCGGGCTAGAGGACAACCATGCAGTGTCAGATGGGATGGGTGACAAAGGAAAGGCCTGAAGCCCACAGATCTCAACTCACCAAACCCAGTGCCACATGCAAGCATTTCCTATAGAAACAAACATCTTGACCCGACATGCCAAAAACCACAGCTCTATCTGTATAAATCAAGACTTTAGGAGAAAAAAAAAAAAGACAGAGAGGCTTAAATAGATTTTTTTTTTTAGTTCAAGTTCCTGGAACCTGCCCCAGCTTGAGCAAGTTAAGATCAGTGAAACAATTCCCACATCCAGTAACAAGTCAAGTCTCCCAATCAAGACCTTCACCTTCCCTGAGCTGTCATTACCAAGGAATTATAAAACAATTACCAATTCATTATAAATTCCTACCTACCATTAAATCCACGGAAACCTCAGGATGGGCTGAGAACCCACCACAGAGTTCTAGTGTGTCCCTATTACCTATACTTGGTGGGGGGAGTGAGTGTGCCACTGGATAATGGCGCTGGGCCTGCATCTCCAGTTCACTGGAGCCACTGTGTGCATCAAACTGGTGATTCTGTAAGATGCAACTCTCACCAAAGCCCCCACCATGAATCCTCTAATTCCTTTCCAGGTCCAGGTGGCTTCCATCTGCTAGCTGGGGAAGCAGAGGCCATCTTTGGGTGCAGGAACCCAAGGAAGGAAAATCATTTTTAACGTTCTTGATACCCACTGAACCAAAGTAAATGGAAATTTCTCAGGACATTCAAATTGTATTCATTCAAATTACAGAAATGGGCTACTCCATACTAATCACGGGACAATTTGTCACACATTTACTCAATATGGAACATTTACTAGTGACTAGTTTCCTGTAACATTCATTTGGAAAATGCACACTGCAAAAAGGCAATCTTGTGACTTTCTTCTAGTTGTATATCAAAAATACAAATTGTTCTGGGAGTCAGGCACAAACAGTGGTACAAAAGCATGAACAGAAATGCCTTCTCCAAGAATGTGCTCATTTCATATTGCAGAACTGCTTCCTATCTGGATTCTGGTTTTTGAAAACCTGCTGCTGATTCTTTTGTTCAGAAAGATTCCTTCACTATACCGCTCTTCCACTCCTACCTCCCCCTACTAAAATGCACTGAGTGAAGCACATGTAGCATGGATCTACATGGAACTAAAAGCCCCAATCTGACTGAATCGCAGGTGTTAACACAGTGGCTGCTGGTTTAATCTGCCCACCCAGACTCATGTACTTAGGGACTTTTTGGATCAGAATTTGAGCCAGAAGTACCCAACACTTTTGTCTTTTGGAATCGAATAAAAGCTCTGATGTTCAACTATCAATGTCTTGCATGAGAATCTCTGGTTCCAACCACTGAGATTCAAAGGAGGGAGCAGCAGGAAAAGCTTGGACTGGGGGTAGGAGACCGACCATAAGCCAGCCGTGGGCTTCTTTTTCCTTATTTGTAAATGAGGGGCTTGAGCTAGCATAGCTCTAGTGTACCCTCAGGAGGACACTCTAGGACTCCCTCCTGAAGTCCATTTCTACACAGGCTTATCAGACTGGGTCAGACAAAACTTCCTTACCACTTTGTCTCAACAGTTTAAAGTGGTTTTAACATACTTCTGTGCTGCAGTTTGAGGTTTCCCTCTCTCTCCTACCCCTCAAAGACCAGGTTTCATTTCACTGGTGCAAACCACTGGGGCAAACTGTGGCTGCTGAGGTTTAAAACTGAATCACTGGTCTGCTAAAGATAACGGCCTCTGAGTAACCTAGACCAGGGTACATTGGTCTGTTTTTCAGGAATAGTGTTAACCAAAAAGAAATATAATTCTGTTAGTTCTTCCATAGTTCTACTTTGCAACATGAGATTGTTTGAAAATTACACGAGAAAATCACCCATCACCACTAAGTTAAAGACTTGAATATCTGAGACCTCCAGAGCCTCAAACTCCTACTACAGTCACTGATCCATAGCGCGTCCCTCTCAGCAAGGGGGCTCCATGCGAGTGCAGCCTGATCCAGCAGCACATCTGTGCACGAGGAGCTGATTTCGAAAGATCCGACTCTAGTCATCACTGTCACTGCCAGACTCACTCAACTGCAAGTCATTTCCTATAAAAAGAAAACAGAATCACACCAGAAGTGCACAAGTTAAAAACGACTTCCCCACAAGTCTTTGTATGACTGCCTTGGTTATCACACTACAGTAAAACCAAGCCAATTCTACTTAATTAGGGAGGAAAATCGATTTCGTTCAGTGACAAAACTGATGTAGTCAATGTTTTTAAAGAAATGCTATTCCTGTTATCTGCAAAGCATGGCAATGCTGCTTCCTGGGGTAGAAACAGGTGAGGAGCAGGCCAGACATTTTTAAATGTGTTAATGAATAGCAAGAAAGCATTTATAAATAACTGATTCATGATCTACAATTGTTCATATTAAGTTGCTTTATAAATGCTAAAATAGCACAGTTAGGCCTTCTGTTAAGGAAGCTGAATACTGTTGATACCAGGAACACGCTAATCCAGGATCCCCTCTGTACAATATACTCATGTTACTTTAAACCTCAATTCAACTAATGAGCTTTTATGAAGCCTCATTTTTTAGTGTGCAGAATTTAGGTCTTAGGAGTGAAGAAAAAAAAAATACTCAACATTTCAGTACCAGATGATAAGAGTAACAGGACCCCAGGTGATACCACTTGGATTACAAGAATGAACTACCATAGGACTAGACTGCTGATCCCTAGGCCAGCTCTTCTCAGAGTTTGTTCTGAGGACCCTGGGGTCCAAGGCCCCTACAGGAAGGTACTTCCCTTTTACTACATGCCTGTGTGATACCAGATTTTCCTCAACAATGCAGAAGCAGGTGTAGAATCCAGCTTTCTACTAAGCCAGACATTAAAGAGATTCATAAAATTTTAAAGCAATGTTATTCTTCTTACTAAATATTTTGATTGGGGGCAGCCTGGGTGGCCCAGCGGTTTAGCGCCACCTTCAGTCCAGGGCGTGATCCTGGAGACCCAGGATTGAGTCCCACGTTGGGCTCCCTGCATGGAGCCTGCTTCTCCCTCTGCCTGTGTCTCTGCCCCTCTCTCTCTCTCTCTCTCTCTCTCTCTCTCATAAATAAATAAATCTTAAAAAAAAAAATCTAAAAAAAATTTTTTTGATTGGAAAGTTTTCATAAAAATGTTACTTTTGTTAACATGTGGTAGTTTTTATTATTATTTTAAGATTTTATTTATTCATGAGACAGAGAGAGAGAGAGAGATATGCAGAGACATAGGCAGAAGGAGAAACAGGCTCCATGTAGGGAGCCCAATGTGGGACTCCATCCTGGAACTCCAGGATCACACCCTGGGCCGAAGGCAGGCACTCAACCGCTGAGCCACCCAGGCATCCCCAATCCATTTATTTTGGAAGAGAGAAAATATACTCTAGGTTACTACTCAGGAAAACAATATTATGATTACTTTATATGTTTATATACAAAGGTTAGCAAATTTGCACTATTTACTGTGATTTTAGGGTTTCTAAGTTGGTTCCAGTTGACAGCCCTGGTTTAAATAACTCTAGTGCTTTACTGTATATGAGACATGCAAAGTTAAGGTCTTGCTACAGAACAGGATGACTTGGAGCCGTGAGGAATTAAAAGGATTTTAAGACACTGGTAAGCAGGTAACATCCACAGTGCCAGTTTTTTGCTCTTTTTTTTTTTTCTAGGAGGAAAGAATAATTTAGCATTAACTGGGCAAAATTAAAAACTGACCTAAAGCCACAGTAGCTATCTGGTACTTTTCCACTGTGAACACCAAACTCCCAATGTGAAATTTCCGATCTCTAGCCTACTGAGAAGAGCACCAAAGCAGACCCTGATCCTGATCCCCAGAATGTAGGCCCACAGAATGGGATAGCAGACAGTATCCTTAACGGATACCCTAACACTGTTGAACTCACTCAAGTAGAAGAGTGGGACCTTGAGTAGTGTTTCTCCAGTAGGGGTGATTTTGTGCCCCAGAGGATATGTGGCCATGCCCTAAGATATTCTGTGTTGACACAACAGGGGGAAAAGGGAGGAAGAAGGGCACCTAGTAGATAGATCCATCCTGCGGTACATATGACTGCCCCCAAAACAAAGATTTATCTGGCCCACAGTGTCTATAGTACTGAGGTTACGAATTAGTTTTGCCTGGACCACAGTGGTAGAGTTAACTAAATTAGCTTCCCCCCATTGCTTCCAGACCTTCCAACCTCCTCAAAGGCAGTCATACCAAGTGACAGCATTAACAAGGATTTGGAGAGAAGGGTGTAGGAACTAGAACTCTTGCAACGTCTATTACATAGAAATTTGTGTTTGTTCTTATTTTGCTCTGCTTTACTTTAGTATCAATTGCGTGGAGAGCCACCCAGCCATGGCAACACCCCTTCCTCTCCCTCTTGTCAAAGGCTGGTTGGTTTCCAAATATATCCTAATGGCTCAAGCTCCCAAGTCTGTGGGCTATAGGATCCCATAGTCTGGAGAATAGGGTTCTTGGGGCTGTAAAAAGACCTGGAGGCAGCGTTCAGTATGGTGGTAGGCAGTGCCCTAAAAGCCTGGTAAATGCAAAAATAAGGAGGCAGGCTGCTCATGTTTCAGCATTTTCCAGAATTCAAAAAACCTCATTTGTGCCAGTGGAAAAAAAAAAAAGAGAAGAAAGAACAGACTTTTTAGTTTTGTATGCCCCTTTTTATTACCCTTTGGTAACTTACTCCTTTCTGCTCAAATTTTCTTTGTCAAGATGCTTTTTTATGCCTTTAAGTATCTTTTGGTGCATAGGTTCTAGTGTGAGATAAACAGAAGCCACATCTTTGGCCGGACATGCCACCTCTCTCTGAGCCAAGAAAGGGAGAGGATACTTACTGAGTGTGTTCATGAGCTGGTTGCTTCCTTGCGGCCGGCTGGTTCCGTTGGCTACGGCCGGCCTGCTGTTGTAGGGCTGCTGGTGTGCGGGCGGCGGAGGGGACGCTGGGCCATTGTCCTCACCCCCGCTGCTCGAGCTGTCGTCATCGCTTCCTGATGAGCTCTCGGAGTCTGAGGAACTGCTCCCACTACTGCTGCTCATCTGTTCAATAATGTCAACTTCGGCCCTGAGCTCTGGAATAAAATGACAGCAGGAGTTAGTGCAGCAACCCCTCTCAAGGCCGCATGCTGAACCTTCTATAAACAGTGAAGTGGCAGGACCAATAGCAAGGAAGAGTAACTTACACTCCTCCTTCCTTAATTCCTTAAAAACATACAAAAAAAAAAAAAATGACTAAAACCAAAACCAACAAAGTAAAACTGTCTTCAGAGAGACAATGGAAACATTAACTTCAAATAACCAAAAAGAAAACAGTATGAAATAGAGACTGTTCTGTGTAAGAAATGGATAAAGTCTATTCACCTTATCTACTAAAACAAAAAACAAAAAAATATTGTGAATTATGAAATTAAAACACCAAATAAGAGAAATATTATGCTAAGGGGTTGAAAAATATTTGACTAGGCACTGGAAGATCTTAATGCTTGTTTCGGCTCTACCTCTCACCAGCAAGGAGACCCCAGTGGGAGTTCGTGAATTTTCCAAGATATTAAAAAAAATGCGAGCCAGAGCAGACAGACTCTGAGGTCCTTTCTGGCTATCCGATCCCACAAAAAAACTGCAAGGGGAACCATGGTAACTGAAGGAAAATGGGGAAACGACATTCCTCCTCTGCCCTCTTTCTATACCTCACTGACACACTCCTGTCAGGTACTACCTCTTCTACACATGTACAGCAGGGAAGGAAAAACATGTTTTACCTTTTCAATATCACTGAGAGTACGTTAAGGACACATCATAGGATACATTAAGATGCCAGATTTTCCTGTCCGAAAATGCTATGTGGTTTTAAACAAGTATGGTTCCTTTAAGCATAACTGGCAATAACTCACCACTCACAGTCCAATTCCTGATCAACTAAAGTGAAAACTTTAATAAATAGCATTCTAATATCCATGAGGAAAACAAAACCAAGAAATAAAAACAGGAGGTTTAACAAATGTGCACCGGGCAGACTAATTCTGTTTACTAAAAGAGAGCACTTCTATAAGGTAGAAAAGGCAAACTTAAGGACAACTCTTTATCTTTCCCTGTCTACGACTGTTACAGATTTACTTTTGTTTCATAAAACCTTACAAATCTGAAATACAACACTTAGCCTCATAACTTCCTAAGAGTCTGGACAACTAAAACTACCCACTCACTGTATGGGAAGAAAGCCAAGGCAATCTTGGCCTTGGAGAGAACCTGACCAGACCTCTAGGTCTTTCTAGGCGTTAATTCCTTAAAAGCATACAATACATACATTCTCATTTCAAGGTCCCCATAGCACTTTCGTGTTTACATACTTTGTGTTAGTACAAAGTATTGGGGTCCTGGTATTTTAGATGTTCTTCTGACCTAGATACCATACTAACACTGACACATCTGGTTTTCACCCCAACACCTTGGAATTCTCTTCTCCCAAAGCCTTAAAGGCATGTTGTACAGACCTTTGAATGGCAGTCATGCTTGTTTATATCCTGGGCCTCTAAGTAGAAAGCTGCAAAGATAGCCACAACTCCAGTTACTATTCCAAGATCCAGCCTTGTCAAACGAGTTAAGTGGCAACAGCCCTGACCCACCCTCATCACCTCTGGAATGGTGAACTCTGCAGAAATTTTTTTCATGGCAGAAAATGCCTGTGCCATCATGTCAATAGAAGAGCCTTGTGATTGCCACAAAAACACCAACACCCCACACCAAGTTGCTATCATGGTTCTAGAAAATGCTTTCTACCTCTTTTGATGTCATCCAGCTGGGGTTCAGGTGAGGGGTTATCTTTCAAGGGGGAAGTTTTGGGTCCAACTGGAGGCTTTGTTGGAGCTCTGAATGGCATAGGTGGTGGAGGTGGTGGTGGCTGTGATGGCTGTGGGGGACGAGTGGGCTGCTGTTCCATTCGGGCTTGGATTTTACTGCTCCCCTCGGCTCTGAAATGAGATAAGGACATTAAATTGGAGGGACAAAAATAGTATTCAACTCTGTTCAGGGGACCAAGTACCTGCAGGTCTCTGCACAACCCTGTGCTCTTTACAGACTACTTCAAAATATTGATGTTTGTAGGTTTATCACAGGAGTTACTCATGCAACAGCTGCCTATTGCATTCCAGTACCACATCCTGCACCAGAGATAGATGAATAAAACACACACACTTGCTGTCCTCAAGGAGCTCACATTTTATAGCAAGCAGATAAAACCAGTATGGAAGACACAATGGGATTATGAAAACCCATTTTTACTAGTAGACAATATGATTATTTATTTGACTTGTGTACAATATAAAGTTGTATTCACAAGTGTATGAGTTACTAAGTAAAACCAGCTCTCAAAATACTGGCTAGTTTGCAGATTTTTGCATGATTTACTGCTTGCTCATCTTGTCACGTGCCAGCTCTTGCAGGCAGACAAGCAAAGCATTCCACCCCAAACTGAGAAAATTCTATTCGTTAACAATTTCTTTTGTATATGGACTAGCCCAGCAAACTTTGGGCTTTCTAATATTGGTGAGCACACAAATCACCTGGGGAATACATTTAAAATGCAGATTCTGTCTCAGCAGGTCCTGAAATTCTGCACTTCAAAAAAGCATCCAAGTGATAAAATGCTGCTAATCCACAGATGACACTGAGTAGTGAGAGATATACCCTTGACCATCAGCTGTTGGGGGAATAACAGTGTCACTAGTTTGGGGAGGGAGGTAATTAACACAAATACATCCCAGGTGGGAGAGGAGCAGGAGCTTGAAAGCCAGCATAGGGCTCAGCTCTGGTGCCAGACTCCAATAAGTCACAAGCTCACTAATAATCAATCTCTGCATCTGTGTGCTTGTCTTAAAGGATAAAACAGCACCCTTCTAAAAGTTCTTAGTAAAGTTAGGTAGGATAATGCATGAAAGCATTTAGGATCGTGTTCAGCACCTCATAACCCATAAATAAACAGTAACTTTTTATTTTTTGTGGAATGAGTGAAGAAAAATGGCTTGAGAAAGCATAAACAGAAAAACATCAATCAGACTGTAACTCTCTTTAAGATTTCACAACTGTATTACAGTAATTGCTATATCTCAATGTGAAAAAGAGAACCACTGGGTTGCTTCTATTAATGAAATAAATTTTGACTTTAAAATAAAATTGGCTTTGTATTAGACATGTAATGCCTGTTGAATTAAATATTAAAAGAGCTCACTATTCAAAAAAATAGGCAAACTTTATTTTGGTATAAACAGCTCAAACACATCTTGTGAAAAATTAGTTATTTTCAATCTAATAAAGAATATATATCACTCAATGATTCTTTCATAATTACAAGTCTATCAGTTTAAATCTTATCCCTTTAGGTGGTACTATATCAACAATCATGAGATTAACAAAACAGATATAATTGCAAAGTACATCCTTTCCCCAGTGGTTTACATGTTTCAGGTCTTAAAAGCATTATTTCTTTTTATTGCATTTGAGGAAGCGATACTTTACTGATTTGTCAAGAAGACAGACATAGAGCTGTTGAGATTATCAATAGGACACTGAGCACCCAGATGCTCACATCTTTATAAAATAAACAGATAGATAATGCAAAGATATAAAAAACCCACATCAATCTGTATCTGGTTATTTACATACCTTGTTTTCTTGACCTGAATGCTGCTACTGAGTTTTTCCAGCACATATTCACCAGTGTCATGATTAATAATAAGCACACAGTCTTTCTGATAGGGCCGTTTGTTCCCCTTGAACACAGTCATTGGTGGTGTGGATCCCTAAATGCCACGAAAGTAGATGATGATCAAACTAAACACATCAGTTATGAATATCAAAACTGAATTTACAAATGACTATCTCACAAAATCTTTTATCAGAGTTACCCAAATAGAATAAACTGATTCCTTTGGCTTCTTAGGCAAAAAGAACGAGGAAATAGTAATACAGCAAGAATCTGTAACTGTGCAACTGCTTCTCAATAATCAAGAAAGGTAATATAAATTTGCAAAATTACTGTCCATTTTTCTAAGGATTCAAGCTGTGTTACAATTAATGGCAAGATGTGAACTGATAAAAATAGATTAAACATTACTTGCTATTACACTGAGTAGAACTTTCACTATGAGAAGTGAAACTAGTAAGTTATCTCTGTATTTCTTTGTAATTTCAGAGTCCGGTGCTTCCCCTCAGGACAAGTAACCAACACAGCATTCTCTAAGGGCAGCTGGTTATTCAGCTTGGCTCAGAGTAAGTACATCATGCCACTCAACTGCCTAAGCCCTTCAACTGCTACCCTGTTCCTCTGAGACCAAACAATAAAATCTTTAAACCACACACCTGGCCCTTCTGCCTCACCCTAGACCACTCAGCCCTCGGCTCTGTGGAATTCAGAACAAAAGGTGGCTGGCCTCTCAGGTCCTCAAGCTCTTTTTTGCACACCTTTAACAAGGCTTCTGCCCACAATATCCTGTCCCTTCTCGTTCAGTTACTTAATCTTCAAATCTGCTCAAAGGTCACTTCCTTAGAGAAGCTTTCCCTGATTTTGTAAAATAAATGGTCTTTTAGATTTCTTTAGTTCCAGGCTATAAGCTCCCCAGGGCCAAGAAATGTGCTTGTGTTAAGATTGTATTCTCAGTGCTTAGTAATGGACCACCACATAGTAGGTGCTCGATTAATATTTGATGTATAATACATGACAAATATGGGATTTAATCCCTTGTATAGAATAAAAAAAACTGCTTGGCTCTTTAACTCCCAATTCATAGGGTAAAAACTTAAGAGTTGGAAGGGACCTTAGAGACCATTTATCTAACCCCTTTATTTTCCATTTGGCAAATGAAGATCCGAAGGGAGATGATGTAACCTGCCAAAGGCAACAAATAATGAAATAGCAGTTGGAGCTGGCAGACAAGTAATCGTTCCTCAGCGCAAAGCTTCTTATCCAGAGCCTTTTCATTCTATCACTGGTTACCAAGACCTTATGCTGTGACATACAACAACACACGTTCATTAAGAGTATCTGATACTTCAGGGTTTGTGATTACAGTGCTGCCTTGAGCAAAGCTTCAAAAAAAATCTCTCTGCAAGAAGAGTTCTCAATTTAGCTTTTAACTTAGTTCCTCACCCCTACATTAGCTGAATGCTCTGATTTTCTGGTTCTTGCTTAAAACTTTCAGCCTGCACTTTGCCTTTTGCCAGATATATGAAAGATTATCAATCCTGCTCCTGCCTGCCTTAACTCCTGGCTTGCCTGTGCCACACTTCTAAACTGTTGTTGCTATAAACCAACATAGCATCTAGGGCTTTTCTCTTCAGAAGGGGGGAAAAAAAGCTATGCCAATCTAAAAGAGGGGCTATGTATCCAGATAGGAACCTGGTCTACTTTGTGGCAAATGGGGGGAAAAGGGAGATTGGGGAAAATGGCAAAGAATCATTTTTACTTAAGCACTTGGGAAGCATGAATTCCACGCTACCCCACCACCAAAATTCCTTTTTTCCTTATGTTGGAACTTTAGAAATCTAGAAGTTTGTAAATAGTAGGAAATTCAAATCGCAATAAATAGAATATGAGGATTCACTGCGATTCCACAGTGCATAAACTTACAGGGATATGTGGCAGTGTAATTGTGACTTCATCTCCTTTGCCAACCTGAAGCTCTCCTTCGCATGAAGTATCTATAGATGCTGGCTTAAAGTCATCTAAAGGGAAGAGCAAAAGAGCATTTATCCACCACGTTACTTATACTAAGCCTCCTGGGCATTCTTATTTAAACATTAAATTTTTTTGTTACTCCAGATAAATGCAAAATACAAATTTAGAATAAAAAAAAAACCTATTTCATTGTGGAAAATTCCACATATACAAAAGCAAAGAATAGTACAATATGAGCCTCTGTGTCCTGTCACCCAGCTTCAATAATTACCAATTCAGGTACAATCTTGTTTCATCTATACCTCCCACATATTTTCCTCCCATCCCCACTGGATCATTTTGAAGAAAAAAAAGCTAGAATTCATATACCATTTTATTAAGCAAAGATACTCCCATCTCCCAAGTGACAGATGAAAATTAACGCCCCATTATCCATAAGGTGTTTTATTAGGGTTGTTGCATACAGGATCAAAAGCAAACACAGCATTTTCGAAAGATTCTGTGATTGTTAAGCCCAGTCTGAAACATGGAAGGCCACAGTACCATATAAACTGATTTCATTTTGCAAAGAAACTCAAAATCAGAATTTGCCACACTCAACTTCTATAGCTTTAACAAAAATAAAAATACTCTTGTAGAAGTACAGAGCAGGGATCCCTGGGTGGTGCAGCGGTTTGGCGCCTGCCTTTGGCCCAGGGCGCGATCCTGGAGACCCGGGATCGAATCCCACATCGGGCTCCCAGTGCATGGAGCCTGCTTCTCCCTCTGCCTGTGTCTCTGCCACTCTCTCTCTCTCTCTCTCTCTGTGACTATCATAAATAAACAAATAATTAAAAAAAAAAAAAAAAGAAGTACAGAGCAGATGGCTGAACTGCACCTCCAAAGGTTAATCCTGCCCATATCTCTCAACCCCTGCCAAAGTACAACATGAATAGTCTTTTTACTCCATTTTGACATACACTGGTCTCAAGCTGCGGGCCAGGTGCTTGTGTGAAGCCTCTCAAATTCCACACTGCCCTTCACCCTATTAAACCATCAACTTAGGAAACTGCTCAGGAAATGATGCTCCTGTCACATTCCCCACATCTACCCTCTGAGAAAGCCGATGTGCTGTCACACGGTAATGGGAAGGCAAGTGACCACGGAAAGATGGAACTTCATTATCCCAACACGCCCTCTTCCAATGTGTTGAGTCACTTTTATTAGCTCCTTAGACAAAAACAAGTCTTAACCAGCACGAGCACTACCAAGACGGGAAACCAGGAGCTTGTGAATCACAGAGGGATGCTCAAGTCAGCCCATTCCTAACAGCCAAAACTTCGCCCAGGGCCTGGAGTGGACGTGCCCTCCCTCCACAGAGTCTGTAATCATGCAGAAAAGGAAGGTCCAGCATAATGACTACTTGGCTGGTCTTCGGGCCTCCTCCTCTGCTTCCAAACATAGCTCACCAAGCTTTAACTTACTCCAGGCTCACCAATTCTAATTTTGTTCGTCGCCCACATGGGGCTTGGTACGGAGTTTAAGTGTGGGTAGGATGGGTGACCTCAAGGACAGCAGGGTCCGACGAGGCACGCAGAGCTAGAGGGGGGAAGACGCCGACGGACCGCACGCGGGACGCGGATTCTCGGGCTGCCCAGGAGATGGAGCGCAGGCTCGGGGTGGCCGGGACAAAGAGCAACGAGGCAAGAAGGCTGAGGCGGACAGGGAAGAAGGGGATGGAAGGGGAGGGAGGCGATGAGGCTCGCGAGCAGACGGGAAGGGCCCTTAACGGTGGAGGACCCTGGCGGGGCCCTGGGGAAGGGGGATGGACCACAGGCGACCTGGAGGCCGACGTGAGGTCACGGTCTTTCCGTAATAAAGGGGGGGGGGGGTAAGTTTCGCATAAGGAAGGGCCGAGTGGGCGGACGAAAAAGCAAGGGGGCCGACCACCTTCGGAAGAAGAATCTGGGATCACAAGGCACAAGAATGTAGTTGGGGGTGACGAAGGGTTTGGTTTGGAAGCGAGCTGGGAAAAAGGAGGGGGTGGGGGGCGGGGGGACTGAGGTCCCGGAGGATCTAGGGGAAGAGAAGGGCTGACGCAGGCAGGGGCTTCCAGGGCTTCGGGGCCGGGGCCGGGGGCCGGGGCCGGGACCGAGGGAGGGGTCGGGCTGGCAAAGGCGGGGCAGCGGCCGAAAGGGACGCAGGGGAGCGCCGGCTTACAGCGAATGGTGTGGAAAGAGGCCCGCGGCCGCTTCTCGAAGCTCTCCCCGAGCCGCAGGCAGTGCTCCTCGCGGTCCAGCAGCGGGTTCGCGGTCCCGTTCATGGCCCTCGCCGAGCCCCGCGCCCGCACCGGCGCTCTCCCCGCGCAGCCGCGGCCCGAGCTTCCGGCGCCAGCGTTCGGGGGATCGACGCTCCCTGGGCCGCGCTCCGCGGCGCGCGGCGAGCCCAGCCGGCGCCCACCCGGGGCCGGAAGCAGGTCCTCTCCTCGGCGGCGGGGCGGGCCGGGCCGGGGAGGCCTGCGCGGAAGCAGGGCCGCGCGACTTCCGGCGGCGGGGCGGGACCTCTGCGTCCGAGGCGGAAGTGGCGGGGGCGGCGCCATGGCTGAGGGTTCCGCCGGGTGAGGTGCCTGAGGCGGGTTTGTCCCCGCGTGGCGGCTCCCCAAGCCGGGCTGAGGGCCGAGGGCGTCCGGCCCTCCCCGTCCAGGCGAATGTAGGAACCGACGACGGTGAGCCCGAGAGCGCGGCGAACTAGGTGAACACGGGCCTGCTAGCCAGTGTGGCCGGCTCTCCGCAGGCCCTGGCGGCCGCGGCGGCCTGGCTTCCCCCGAGCGCCCTCCGCCCGACGGCTCCGGCCCCGCGCGTCATTGGCCTCTTCTCCCTCACGCGTTAATGGAGGAGCCGGAGCCCCAGCCCCTGGAAAGCGACGCCCCCACTGGTTCGTGAGACAGCTTCCTGGGAGTGCGATCAGAGACTCAGGCCGCCGGGCTTGGCTCCAAATTTCCCCCCTCCCCCAAAGCGAGTCTCGGATCCTTGGGCGACGGTGACCCCACTTGACCGCCTGTCGCCACCTCGGGAAGCTCTCATGGTGGTTTTAAGTCGCCCCTCGTGGCGGGCACCGAACACCGATGAGCGTCTTCTCCCTAAGGTTTCTCCGTCCGTACTTGGGCCTGTCCTTTTTTTAAAAAAAGCAAAGCGGTTTATAATAGTTGACTTGTGGTTCGGTGCGTGAGAGCCCTGGCCACTGAATGTCAGCCGTCCGTCTGAAGGTAGGGACTGCGTCCTGGTCTTTGTGACCGACCTCTTGTGTAGTGGGCCAGGTTGTGTCGAGTCAGCGTCTGAACTGTTTGGTGAAAGAAATGTCCTAGAACCACCAACCCGGCGTCTTAAAAACTGGAATCTCCTTTCTCCTGCAAAAGGGCCCAGTGCTGCCTGAGAAATCCAATCAGGGTTAATCCAGTCTTGAGAAACTGCATCTGAAAAAACCCTGCCTCTGTATGTCTGCAATATCAGCTTGTGGAGTCCTCGGGTTCCTCAGGGATGGAGAGTCCTCAGCACTGTTAACAGTAATGCCTGTCAGTTGAGGAGATGGCTTCTTTGCAAAGAAAAGGGCTGCAGGCAAGGATCCTCAGCTCTGAAGAAGAGGAGAAATTGAAAAGAGATCAAGCTTTGGTGTCCGATTTTAAGCAGCGGAAACTGGAAAAAGAGGCTCAGAAGAACTGGGACCTTTTTTACAAAAGAAATAGTACTAACTTCTTCAAAGATAGACACTGGACCACCCGAGAGTTTGAGGATCTCAGATCATGTAGAGAGGTAAACTAATATTGCACCTTATTTGAGTTGTTTTTCATTTGAAAAGTGAAGAGGAGTGTTTCTTGCATTCCAGTGGGGTAGAGAATTTATGAAGCCTGTCAAAATGCTTTGTTCCCTGGAAACACACTGTTTGGTCTCAAACAGAGTTTAGCATTTCCTGGGTTATATAATCTGTAGGAAAGAGAGCTTTAGGAGCCATTTTCGATTTCTTTTTTTTTTTTTTTAAGATTTTATTTATTTACTCGTGTAAATACAGAGAGAGGCAGAGGGAGGAGAAGCAAGTTCCATGCAAGGAGCCTGATGCAGGACTCAATCCTGGGACTCCAGGATCACACCCTGAGCTGAAGGCAGATGCTCAACCACTGAGCCACCCAGGCATCCCTATTTTCTATTTCTTAAAGCTAGTCTGAAAGGCGTAAATATTAATTTCATGCTGGATGACTTCAGTGAGATTCAGATTCATAAGGATGATGAACACTTTACCATGGCCCCTTTTCTAGAACTTTAAATGTGTCCTAAGCCTTATCATAACACTGTTGAGGTAGGCATCCTGATTATCCCCACTTGTCCGGTAAAAGTGAAGCACACAGCTGTGTAAGTGGTCTGGTGATAGAACAGGGGTGAGGGGAGGAATTCAGATTTGAATGCAAGCAGTTTAGTCCCAGAGCCTGTTCTGTTAGCCGTGGACACTGTTTTTACCATACCAAACTGCCCCTGTTGGACGACAAATGAGATATGAGTATTAGCTTTAAGTTATCAATTCATGGGTTTGTTGTCGGCTCCCTGGGTCAGAGACCTGTCCTGAGATGTATTCTTGTAGTTTGCTTTCTCTATGATGCAGATGTAGCGTGCTATGACTTTGGGTTCTTTTTCCTTAGTTTGAAGATCAAAAATTGACTATACTTGAAGCTGGCTGCGGTGTTGGGAACTGTTTATTCCCACTTTTGGAAGATCAGAATATCTTTGCTTATGCCTGTGATTTTTCTCCAAGAGCAGTTGAATATGTCAAGGTTGGTGCTCCATCCATCCATTCTGTTGTGTTGCTCTTTTTCTTAGATTTCTCTGACCTCCCTTCTCTACTCATTTGCCTAATTCCAGTCCTCTCATTGAAGCTAACCAGCTGTGATCACTATGGATGTGTTTTTCCTATTTAATGCATATATAGTACATACAGAAAACATAGCTTTACTCAGAAAAGTAGAAGGAATTACCAAAATGACACTCATATACTTAAACCCAGATTTAATGATTGGCAGCATTTTGCCACATTTGCTTTATAGACCTTTCTTTGCTGAACTATTTTAAGATTTTACTTATTTATGGGCAGATAGAGCAAAGCACAGGTGCATGCAAGAAGGGGGAGAGGCAGAGGGAAAGGCGGAGAGAGCATCTCAAGCAAACTCTATGCTGAGTGCAGAGCACTATGAGGGGCTCCATCTCACAGCCCTGAGATCATGACCTGAGCTGAAATCAAGAGTTGGATGCCTGACTGAGCCACTCGGGTGCCTCTGCTGAACTATTTTAAATTATAGATGTCAAGACACTTCCCTCCTAAATATGTCAGCATACATATTCCAAAAAATAAGGGCTTCTTTGTATGACTGTAATGCACTTAATTATATCTAACAAAATAACTATAATCCACTAATGTACAGATTCAGATTTACCCAAGTAGTCCCAGGTATCTTTTATACCTGTATTTAGTCAAGGACTACATCTTGTACTTCTTAATGTACCTTAAATCTCCTTAACCTAAAACATTCCTGCTCTTCCCCTTGACCTTTTCCCCATTGGCATTGAGTTTTTGAAGGGCAAGCCATTTTCTGTAATACAGTCCCACGTTCCGAATTGGTCTGTTTCTTTATATCATTGTTAACTTGTTTCTTAATCTCCTGTATTTCCTGTAAAGTAGAAGTTAGATTCCTATCACGTAAAATATATTTTTGGCAAAAAATACTACAATAGGTGATGGTGTATCTTTGGTATTATATCCTGTCAGGAGGCATTAACATCTGGTAACCTCAGTATATACATCATGCTAGCTTTATATTTGGTCACTGGGTTAAGGTAGTAACTTCCTAATTCCTACCTAAAAGATACTAAGGGGTACCAATATTTACCTTTTGCCATTAACAAATATGTGGGAGATACTTTGCCAAATACCTAATTTTCCATCAACCTTCCACAGTTTTAGCATCCATTAGAAGTTCTTTGTTGTTTTTAAAGATTTTATTTATTTTAGAAAGTGTTGAGGGGATGGTGTGGGCAGAGGCAGATGGGGAAGGAGAGGGACAAGCAGACTCTGTGCTTAGCACAGAGCCAGTTTTGGGACTGATCCCACAATCCCTCAAGATCATGACCTGAGCCGAAATCAAGAGTCAGACTCTCTACTAACTGAGCCACCCAGGCGTCCCTAGAAGTTTTTTTAATAGTAGTATCACGTTGCATCAGATGGAGCATCATCCTCTGTGTGAGAACCCCCTGGTGCTCCTGGAGGAGAACCCTACAAATGGGTGGGAATGCCCCTGTTACTTTAGCCCCCAGGGGATTCACACTGTAACGTCCACACTCAGTCTCCAGCAGTTTTATCAAATTTCTAGTTTTACTAGTCTGGAGGCTTCTGCCTCAGTAAGCAAATGCTTAGGTCCTTTCTCTTCCAGAAGGCCATTGTCTGTCTCCATATTTCAGGATGACTGGTGGTTCTTTGGGCTCTGTTCTGTGATGGGTTCACAAAAAAGTCATTACTTTGTTATCTATCCATCTTTTTTCTTACTATAGGATGGGAGCTACATTTTTATACCTCTATACATCTTTGAACTGAAACCGGAAGACCTTTAATTCATCTGGGTAACCAGTCAGTCTCTGACAGTGTAAAACTAGTTGTTCAAACATAGTAAATTGAATAAGAAATCCTTTTTTTTCCCTGATAATTGTTACTTTTATTATCTACTTTTTATATATACCTGTCATCTTTGTTACCTGTTTTTTTGTCATATGCAGTACTAAATTCCTCTGTATACGTGGGTCTGTCTGTTCTGCCTCAGTCATTTATTTGTCCCCATTCAGACCTCATTGCTTTAGTACTACATTTTGTAAAATGTTTTGATGTCAGTCATGTACATCCCCCTTCATTGTTCTTCAATTTAAAAATTGACTATTCCTAAAGATTTGCTTCCAGATGAATTAAATTTGCCTTGTCAAGTTTCTAGAAATCTATTGGGATTCTGTTGAGAGTGCATTGGATTTAGAAGTGGAATTATAGGGAAGTTTGGGTGGCTCAGCGGTTAAGCGTCTGCCTTCAGCCTGTGGCGTGATCCTGGAGTCCTAGGATTGAGTCCCACATGGGGCTCCCTGCATGGAGCCTTCTTCTCCCTCTGCCTATGTCTCTGCCTCTCTCTATCAGTGTCTCGAATGAATGAATGAATGAATAAATAAATAAATAAATATCTGCTAAAAAAAAAAAAGGTGGAATTATAGATACAAATTGGTTATCTTTTCAATATCGAATCTTCCCATCCAGTACCTTCGTATCTGTTTATTCAAGTCGTTATTCACACTAAAGAGAAAAATTTAATGTGTTTTTTTTTTTTTTAAGATTTTTATTTATTCATAGGGACAGAGAGAGAGAGAGGAAGAGACACAGGCAGAGGGAGAAACAGGCTCCATGCAGGGAGCCCAACGTGGGACTCGATCCCGGGCCTCCAGGATCACACCCCAGGCTGCAGGCAGCGCTAAACCGCTGCGCCACAGGGGCTGCCCATTTAATGGGTTTTTATTATGCTCTTGTAACACCTTATACTTACTCTTTTTTTATGATAGTTTTATATATTATCTTTTCTTGTAATGCTTTTAAACCACCATCCACAAAGTTGTGGTAAAAAAAAAAAAAAGAAAGAAAAAGAAAAGTCAGGCTGCCTCAAGGGAAACTATGCCCTGAAGAACTCTGGGAACATCTCCATGAGTGGATTTGGAAGGACTTCTCAGAAGATTTAGGCTTATGGTGGGTGAATCAAAGGATTAAGGAAGCACAGGTCAGTTTTGACTTTTCGTCCCTTTAGAGATACATGCTTCTAGAATGCTAAGTTTTGAATGTGACAGCTTGTGTCTCTCCTCAGTTAAAGATAATTTGTTAAAACAAAATCTTGTTCCTCATAGCAATATTGAATACTACATGCTTTGGTGTGCGATTGGTGTATCACTCAGTTTTACCCAATAACAAAGTGATTTTAATTTTTGTGCAGCAGTGCACAAGTGGAAATAGGATCTTTTATTTGTTTTTCCTTTGGGTCTCCTTTTGATGCTTTATTTTTCTATGTGTGTCAGCATGGATGTTGCATTAAAACTTTTTTTTCTCTTCTAGCAAAATCCTTTATATGACTCAGAAAGATGCAAGGTGTTCCAGTGTGATCTAACCAAAGATGACCTTCTGGAACATGTGCCCCCAGAATCTGTGGATGTTGTCATGTTGATATTTGTACTCTCTGCTGTTCACCCTGATAAGATGCACCTTGTCTTACAAAATATTTACCAGGTTAGTGATTTGGAGCCTAGAGGTTGGACATCCTGATCTTTTTGCTTACCTCCCTTCTGAGGCTCATGTCTGGATTCAGAGTCTCCTCATTCTCACTAAGTGTAGAACATGTAGTTGGGTATGGAAAGGTATTCTTCTACATAAAACAGTGACCCTAAATTCTGATTTGTCTGGTAGCCATCACTGCTGTTCAGATCTTGGCCAGCCTTGGAACAAGGATGATTTTGCAATTATTTTGGCTCTCTGTGTGTAATAAATGCAGATATGCCCTGCTCTAAAGTGAAGGGAGGATATAGTTCAGTGGTCAAGAACCATCCAGCGCCAGAGTGCCTAGAGACAAAACCTGGCTTCCCTGCTTAAATAATTCCTTTACCTCCCTGAGCCTCAGTTTCATTACTTAAAGAATACTGAGTTACTAGATTGTATGAAATAGATGAGATATGTATAAAGTGTGGAGCACAATGCCTAGAACATGGTAAGTGTTCTTTAAAAGTCAGCCATTTTTACTATCATAGTTACTAGACTGAGGAGAACCCAAACAGATCTGGCCATTACGAGGCTACTGTAGCATTGGGGAAGTAAAGGGACACTCTTAAGTCGTGTGACTCAAGAAAGACAAATCACCTCACCTTCCTTGGGCATCAGTTTCCTTGGCTATAAAATGGGGATGTCTCTCAGTTACTGAGAAATGTAGATGAGATCATGAAGGAGGCTACTTTGTAAACTATAGTAGAATTTCTCTTATATCTACGGCAACAGTGTTATTCATTTAAAAATCAACTAATCGGGATTCCTGGGTGGCACAGCGGTTTGGCGCCTGCCTTTGGCCCAGGGCGCGATCCTGGAGACCCGGGATCGAATCCCACGTCGGGCTTCCGGTGCATGGAGCCTGCTTCTTTCCTCTGCCTGTGTCTCTGCCTCTCTCTCTCTCTCTGTGTGTGACTATCATAAATAAATAAAAATTTTAAAAAAAATAAAATAAAAAAAAATAAAAATCAACTAATCAAGAAATCAAAAAAGGTACATTCACCTTAAACATTTTGTTTAATGAACACCCAATGCTCATCCCATCAATTGCCCTCCTCAGTGCCTATCACCCAGTTACCCCATCTCTCCCACCCACCTCCCCTTCACTACCCTTTGTTCGTTTCTCAGAGTTATGAGTCTCTCATGTTTTGTCACCCTCTCTAATTTTTCTCACTCATTTTCCCTCCTTTCCCTTATAATCCCTTTCACTATTTCTTATATTTTTCGTATGAGTGAAACCATATGATGATTGTCCTTCTCAAAAAAATATGGAGCACTTCACGAATTTGCATGTCATCCATGCGCTGGGGCCATGCTAATCTCTGTATCATTCCAATTTTAGTATATGTGCTGCCAAAGCGAGCACAGCATTTTGGTTTCTTTAAAATTAGAGCAAAGGGTGCCTGGTGGCTCATTCAGTTCAGTATCTGCCTTCAGGTCAGGTCATGATCCTGGCATCTAGCCCTGCATCAAGCTCTCTGCTCAGTGGGGAGTCTGTTTCTTCCTCTGCCTCCTCCCCCTACTCGTGTTCATGTGCTCTCTCTCAAATAAATAAATAATTTTGTAGTGGATCGAAGACTTAAAAACAAGTGGAAAGTAACGTGAGGGCAGAGTTTTTTTGTTTTTTTGTTTTTAAGATTTTATTTATTCATGAGAGACAGAGAGAGAGAGAGAGAGGCAGAGGAAGAAGCAGGCTCCATGCAGGGAGCCTGATGTGGGACCCGATCCCGGGTCTCCAGGATCACGCCCTGGGCTGAAGGCAGGCGCTAAACCGCTGAGCCACCTGGGCTGCCCGAGGGCAGAGTTTTTATATTTTACTCAGATTTAGCCTTGATTCTCCCACAGCTAATTAAATAGCGGTTTGTTTAGTGCTTTCTTAAAATCAGTCTTTCCGAAAGTATTGAATGTACTTTTCATAGAAAATAAAAATGCTCATTACTTGCATATTCACATTGTACTTGCATATCACATTGTTTATGTATTCCTATATAATTTTAAATCTAAGTACAGCTGGCATAAGTAAGTTTGGGAACCAACACAGCAGCTCACCCAGGAGCCACTAAAATGCGAGGGCACACAATCTACACAGCCTGTAAGTCTCACCTGTTCAGTGAGTCAGGGGCTTCAGTCAGTCTGCTTTATGAAGGGAAAGAAGAACATTCAGCAAGTTGAAAAAAATAGATGTTTTAAATGTTTTTTAAGTAGTAAGGTGGAAATTTCAAGACCTAGAAACCTGTTAGTAATTATTCTCACTTAGTATCTTAAGGAATTCAGATATTGCCATCTTGGTTTCAGCTCTCTGCTTATTAAGGTTTTGTAAGGTTTTTTCCTCCTTCCTTCCCCATTCCCTGCCCATGGTATCTAAGCAGATGAGAAGGTAGCATGTACCCACAAATGGGCATGGACCTGAAGCTGGGTGAAGAGGGAAGAGAGGGCATCAGGGAAGAGATGGTAGGATCACCTGATTTGAAAATCCAGGTGAGGGCAAAGGATGAATAAAGATGGAGAACTACAGAAGAAACTGGAAAGATGGTTGAGGGAGATGACCAGGGTGACTGGTATAAAATGAGAGACCAGAGGTATTATACTTTTTGGTGTTGACAAGAGTTGAGGATATTATTATGGGAGTAAGTGGTTTAGGAGGGTGGAGGACAGGGTCTTGGAAGAGAGAAGCTCAAGTCATTAGGAAGCCAGCATATTTGGAAGGATAATCTGCATATATTGAAATTGCTCAAAACTAATGAGTAGTATTGAGGATAGGAGAAAAAACCAGAAGTTATATTCACTCATGAAACAGGGAAATGACCCTGGAACTAATAGATGACAATAACATTAAGGGATAAGATGAAATGATGTGATGACACATCGGATGCCAGGGGTTTTAGGGAGGAAAGAGAATACAGGAGAAAGTAGCATGAGAAGCATAGAGGACACTAACCTCATCTCCAAGTCCAATGGTACAAGGGTCAGTAAAGAGAACACAGCCCTGACTTGAGAGGTTGCAGGGAAAACAGAGTCCTCAGGGGACAGTTTGTTAGCACAACAATCTGAACAGAACATTCAGAAGAGATGGATACTAGTGATTGTACTGATGAGGGGTTTCAGGAATGGGGGAGAAGTAGGAGACAGGGACAGAAGAAGTATCTAGAACTTTATGGGGATGAGAGTGCCTACTATCAGTACTTCTTTTCAGAATTACTCTGGAGGTCCTAATCAGCTCAAAAAGAAGGGAAAAAGATAAAACTATTTGCAGACCATTGTCTAATTAGAAAATATTAAAAGATGGCAAAAGTATAAGATGAATGTAATGTACTTAAAATGTCACTTAGCTATACACCTATAAAAGAGTAACATGCATTGTACAATTTTACTTTTCCATTTAATATTACACACTTTATTTTTTTTTGTTTGATGTGGAGTTTTTTGGTAGGGTTTTGTTTTTTTTTTTTTTTCCTGAGCAGTTTAACAAGCTGGTTCTAAGTTTACATGAAAGAAAAAAGGGGGATCCCTGGGTGGCTCAGCGGTTTAGTGCCTGCCTTCAGTCCAGGGTGTGATCGTGGGGTCCCGGGATCGAGTCCCACATCGGGCTCCCGTGCATGGAGCCTGCTTCTCCCTCTGCCTGTGTCTCTGCCTCTCTCTCTCTCTCTCTCTCTGTCTGTGTCTCTCATGAATAAATAAATAAAATATTTTTTAAAAAAGAAAGAAAAAAGGGTCAAAACACTCCTGAAGAAGAATGAGATGGGAAAAATTTATACTCTACCAGATAAAAGGACTTACTACTGCTGCAGTAATTAAGACAGAATGGTATTGACAGAGGGACAGAAATAATGAATGTGATAGCTTAAAAACTGACCTATGCATGAATGGAAATTTGCTGTATGATGGAGGTGATGATGAAGATCACTGGGAAAAGGATTGTTGAGTGAGTGCTGCTGGGACCATTGGGTGTCTTTGCAGGAGAAAGCGAAATTGTCCTCACATCCTATATAAAAATCATTCTCAGATCAAGACTTAAATGGAAAAGACAAGTTTAAGTCTTTCAGAAGAAAATAAAAAGATCTTTGTGACCTGTGACTGGGGAAGTTTCTCAAGACCCAAAGCCTTCTAAGCATAAAGATGATCATAAGAGTAGGAGTTGCTGTCTTCAAGACAATATAATACAAGGGAATTTTAAAAACAACTTGGAGAAAGTAATTTAAAGTTTATACGACGAAAGATTAGTATCCAGAATATGTGAGGAATTCCCATCTAAGAAAGATAAGCAAATTAACAGAAGAATGGCAAACATGGATAGTTGTTTTATTGAAGAGAACACACATATGAAAAGACAATCTCAGTAACCCAGAAAATGTAAAATAAAACCCCAATGAGACACTGTTAGATTAACAAAATTAAGAAGTCTGACAAAGCTCAGTATTGATGGAGGTATCAAGATCAAAGAAGACATTAGTATCAGACTTAACTATTTTATGGACAAGAAGACACAGGGATATAATTTGCTCAAGGTCATTCAACTAGTTATGGAAGAACTGGGATATGAATCAAGATTTCCAAATTCCTGAGTGTTTCTTTCCACAGTCCCAAGTAGCCCTTCCTTCCTTCTAGATTAAGAATACGTCTTTTTTATATAAACTAATTTTTTCAGAATTTCCCTTGCAATCATTCACATTTTTTTAAAACTTAGCATTTCAGACTAAGCTAAGGTAGGTGTATATATCCAAGAGGCTCTTTACAGACAACGTTTTTTTTTTTATTTATGATAGTCACAGAGAGAGAGAGAGAGAGAGAGAGGAGACCCGGGATCCCTCTGCCTATGTCTCTGCCTCTCTCTCTCTCTCTCTCTCTCTCTTTCTGTGACTATCATTAAAAAAAAAAAAAGTCATCTTACTGATGTGATGAATCAGAATAAGATTTAATAAAATTAGAGCCCCCTTTAAAGTCCACTCTTATTTGGTAGTGTTAATGCAGTTTGAAAGAATTCTCATATAAAAAGCAAATGTCAGTACGTACCACTTTCTATTCATTCTTTTTTTTTTTATTCATTCTGAAAAGCATATGCTATTTGCTTTGCAAGATACAGGCAATTATACCCACACCCTGCTGATCCACCTCCCAGTTTTTGAGACACCCATTCTGTGACACATCTCTGAAAGGCTTTAAGTGAGGGCCTCCTAGCTGGGCCTGTCACTGATCCCCATCCCTACACTGCTGCACTGGTCTGAGGATCTCCTATCAAAAAACGCAACACATGGGAAGAATACTGTTACCCCCTCCCCTCTCTGTCTTGTTAGTAGTGTGAATGGAATTGGAATAACACCTCATCCAGGTCCAGGGCTAACAGATGTCTCTGATTCTATAATATGCTGCCTTTGATCCAAATGTGAGTCTTGACTCCCACGCGTACTAGCTGATGTGTGAATTGTGGAGAAATCACACTTATTCTTACCTGATGTCAATTTCCTCATCTCACTTGAGGCTAACAATCACTCCTTCTTCCTTCCTCCCTCCTATCTGAGAAACTACAGAGTGCTATTAGCTATTATTAGCATGGTGGGTAAGGTATGCATAGTTGTAGCACAGTGAACCCCATGTTGACACTCAGAATGAAGGAAGCCAGCCAGAATCATTAAGAAGACAAAATAACATTTTTTTAAAGGGACAATTTAACCAGGATCCTATACTAGGAGACAGCTAAAAATGTTGGGAGAACATGCTTTAAAGGAGCCAAGACTATTTCATTTAATATCATTAACATTTAATTGTATGACCCTGGACCTTGTAAGGGCTCGGGAGGTATCCCTTGAATATGTGGGGCCATGCAGGTGTTGCTATACCTTTGATTAAGGAGGATCTTTTTCCTTCATGTTTTGGGTGGTTCAGTCTGGTTCCTTTCATAATTATCACAGATGTAAGTTATTTTAATCCCTGAATCAATCAGGTTTTGTTTTGAGTAGTTTTATTTGAGCCGTCAACGTGTTAAGTGCCACCTGCTTTTGTTTCATAGGTATTGAAACCAGGCAAAAGTGTCTTGTTTCGTGACTATGGGCTGTATGATCATGCCATGCTCAGGTTTAAAGCTGGCAGCAAACTTGGGGAAAACTTTTATGCTAGACAAGATGGAACAAGATCATATTTTTTTACTGATGGTAAGGTTAATAGAATTTGCTTTTATTTCTGTTTACTTGTTTGCATTATCATTGTGTTTCTGGGGGGAATGGGGGCAACAACACGTAGCACATGCATAAGGTCCTGGCTGGAACAGTCTCCAGTACACACCACTTAGCACCAGGGATGACAGGGACATAGCTATGACCGTGGTGAACTCTCAAGCCTCCTCTGGTCACAGTATCTAGTTAATGAACCTGGGTTAATGGACAGCCTCTGACATGCCACACGTATAACCTACCGGGAACTGTGCTGGAAAAGGGGGAGGGCAAATCAGGATCTTCACTTTGTTCAGGCACGAATAAAACAAGGCTGGCTCAGTCGGAGGAGCATGCAGCTCTTGATCTCAAGGTTGTGAGTTTGAGCCCCACATTGGGTGTAGAGATTACTTTTTTTAAAAAAAGGTAAATAAACTTAAAAAAATAACATGTACAAGTAGGACTGTATAATGCCTGGAGGTTACCTTCCCAGGTCACAAAGGCAAGACACTTTTCTCTATAAAGGTTTTAAGTAAACAAGTTTGCTATAAAGGGGTCTTAAACATTTGTACATCTTGAAATGAAATATTCTTTTGTATTTAAAATGAAATAAAAAATGAGTGATTGCCCTTAAAATTAAAAAAAAATGAGTGATTACCTTTATGACTGCAAAGTCAAAAATGTCAGGTGAAAATTAAAAATGTTTCTGATTTCATGACATCTGAGTAAACCAATTGTAAATAACTGAGAAGACACATTGAGGTCTGCAGAGTGCTTCAGAACACATTCTTAAGAGTAATGCTCTAATTTTACTATGTAGCCATTCTCTTTGATTTAACACATAGTGATGTATTACTTGGGTTCAATTTTCCTGAGGGTGTATCACCAAAAAGTGACAGTTTTCCCCAGTCTGGTCACAGATTTTCCTCCATCATGTTAGGCTAGATGAAGTACTTGATATAAACATACCGAACACGTGAAAACTTGGTATAAATCTAGCCAGTTTGGAATTTTGTTTCTTTTCACTTGGACTTTTGTATTTGAGGACTCACAATAATAGGGCAAGGTGGCCATACTCCAGGTTTTCCTTCAACTTTTCTGGATCAGTTATTTAGTTAAGGGTTTCTGTCTGAGTGTAAGATGACAAGTAGGAATGTTACTTTCCAAAACAAAACCTTCTAGAAATTATAGCATGAAATATCCCAGTGAGCACCCTCTCTTTACCACTGCAGAACAAATGTAGTAGTATCGAGGCCTTGAGCATTGTTGATCTGCTTGCCTTACAGAATTCCTGGCTCGGCTCTTTACGGACACAGGTTACGAAGAAGTGGTGAATGAGTATGTGTTTCGTGAGACGGTGAACAAAAAAGAAGGCCTTTGTGTGCCAAGGGTTTTCCTTCAGAGCAAATTCCGAAAGTGTCCTAAGAACCCAACTCCATGACCATGGGCTGGGCCACAAATTGTGACCTTTCATGAGGTTGACATTTGTGCCTCTGCTTGAAGAGGAAAGTTTAAAGCCATTATTTTGCATATTTTTTATATCTCAACCTTTTAAAATGAGTATATATAATTTTTATATTAAAAAATAGCAAGCGTGTGTGTGTTTGTGTTATTGAAATGCAAATAAAATTGCCAGGCCTGAAAAAGTTTTATGGTATAATGTAATATAACCATGCTGTCTGACTAAAATTCCACCAAGGGGAATGCATAAGCACTTACAGAGATCCTTACCGTCACTCCTGTGATTCTGTAAATGTGCCTTTAGGCAGCATGTCAGGCAATCCTGTGGAAAAAGGAGGCCAAATAGACAAAAATAACACATTCAGATGTATTTTTAGCCTGAAGGAAAGTTCTTTTTTCTTTTTCCAGTGTCTCTCACTTGCCTATTTCTCTCTGCTTCAGTTCATTTATATATATGCCTCTTCACGACCAGTGTTTCACAAATACAGCTTTTGCTATGACTCAGGAACCTACCATGGCTCCCTGCCTAATTCTTGAAACTCTAATTGAGCCAGGCCCTGGCCACACTCTCCAGGGAGAGAGGGGAAGGCCGACACCTGTCCTCCCCATCCACCTGATGTAGCTTCTCTAGGAGTGCCACAGATGGATTGTCCTCATAAAGGAAAAGCTGCAGAGTGTTCACTTGGAATATTTTTTTTAATTTTTTTTTTTTATTTATTTTATGATAGAGAGAGAGGCAGAGGGAGAAACAGGCTCCATGCACCGGGAGCCCGACATGGGATTTGAACCCGGGTCTCCAGGATGGCGCCCTGGGCCAAAGGCAGGTGCCAAACCGCTGCGCCACCCAGGGATCCCCTCACTTGGAATATTTTAAGTTGGCCTAATGACATACCTACCTTGGATACTGAACAAGGTGACCTCTCAGTGGCCCACTTTTAAAATACACTGGTGGTGAAACCAGTACCATGTAGTACGAGGTACTTTGGAGTTTTTGGTATATACTACATTCTTTAGTGCTAATGAAATTGTATCATGATTTGGAGTTTGGAAAGCAGAGTTCGAGTGCAGGACTTATGCCACACAAGTCCTCAGCTTCTTGGAGCCTCAGCTTTTACATCCCTAAGGCTGAGCTCCTGGGACCTACAGCACAAGGCTGCTGCTAGCACTAAATGAAATTCACTTGGGAGTGCTTTGTTTACTAAAAAGTGTCGGCTAACTGCTAGTACTATTAGTTTGCATTCCCTGCCCCCCAGCACCTCTCCCTTATGAAATCCTAATTCCTCTTCCTGAAGGCTGTTATTTTAAATCTTGGGTTCCTCAAGAGAGCTTGGGATTTGGAGGTGCTGCCGCAAGGTGGCGCTAGATGCTCAATAATCCCACTGGCCTTTGCTCCCATTTTAGTCATGGGTCTAGCATGTTCATTTTTTTGTCATTGGAAAGGAAGGAAAATGCTTACAAATGTACTTTCTAGGTCAACTTTATCTTGTAAGGTCAATTTTGGCCTCGCTGTGAAGATGAGAAGTAAAGATACCTCTATCCAACGTTCAGTCTACTTTACCTACAGAAGGTAGTTTTCTTTCAACTGAATTTGTGTAACATTTTTAGACAATAGGCTCTGAGTGTGCCTGCAAGGCCCCGGTCCCTCTCTCATTCCTGAATGGTTCTGTGGATTCATTTTTACTGTTGCTAGGGATTAAGGCAAAGCAAAAGAAGGGACTGCATGGATACTGTTTGCCTCACACATTCATAGTTATCTTTGACAGCATTTGGTTTCCTATTTCACAGTAGTCAAGGAAGAGAAAATTGTGAAATAAATCATGTGCACCAAGAGAGCGAAGCAGGACCATGTCTGCTGTTGGGAAGCAAACATTTAATATAAACTTAAATAGGCTCTCCTCCTGAAACCAAATATTCCATTAAAAATAAAATTAGCTACGTTCATTTTTCTGCCCTCCTCACACCTGGGGCATTTCATTAGATAGTGTTCCACAAATACCCACTCGAGAAACAGGACACCTTGCGGTTGCTCTGGCTGGAGTACAGGGAGGAGGGAGGACCTTGTGGGTAGGTACATGATGAGAGGTAGGGAAGCAACCCAACGAGATCTTCACTAAGGCAAAGTGGGACAGCCAGGAAAGCAATCACCAACACTCAACATCAGAGGAAAGAAAAAGAGGAAGCGAGGCTATGGAAAACTTGAGGGTAGCAGCTGGCAACTGTCACCATCACTTGGAAAGAAAATTTCCACATTTTTCAGTTAGAGGCGTCATATGCCCTGCTATAAGGGCATGGCCATGGAGATGAGACCATGACGCAGAGCTCTTTCACAGTAACTTTCAAGCACGACTAGAAAAATATCATGAGTAGCAAAATAAGACCATCCCTAGAGGAAATACAACTTCTAAGAAAATGGTCAGCTCTAGTTAGAAACAATTAAATTTAGACTCCCTTCTTTCACCTATCAAATGAATAAAACTTAAAAAATAGCGATACCTAATGCTGGTAAAAGGATGGAGAGACCAATTAATGGAGATACTAAAAGTACAGCTTCTCTAAAACAGCATTGTCCACCTGAATTTTCTGAAGTGATGGAAATGACCTCTGTGTTTTCCGATATGGTAGCCACTAGCCACATGTGATTACTGAGGACTAAGGCTAGTGGATTGTGCTACAGAGGAATGGACTTTAAAATTACATTTAAATATAAATGTAGCCACATGTGGCTAGTTGCTATCATTTTGGACAAAGCAAGTCTACAACTCAAACATTGTATAGCAAATTTCATATCTATACATAATCTATGATCCTGTAATTCCATGTTTGGGAATCCAATTTAAGGAAATAATTAGAGGTATTTATACAAACATTTTCATCAAAGCGTTATTTAGAGCAGTGTAAAGATAATGACAGCTTAAATATCTAAAAATGGGAGATGGGTTATATAAACTACACCATAAATTAGAATATTGTACAGTCATTAAAACTGTTGTTTTAGAAACTTAATGGTAAGAAAATGCTCCTTATATAATGTAAGCAGGAATATAAAACAGAAGAATGGTTTCAATTATGTTTAATAATAAATTCTATACAAGGACAGGTAGTTTGTTTTTTTTTAAAAAAAAAAAACACACCTAAGAAGGAACCAATTTCAAATGGTTAAAATATTAGGTTCAGGGTTGTTCAGTTACGCTGACACTTTTTCTTCTTTTTATGTTTCTGAAATGTTCATGTTGTCTACTCTCACTTTAAGAAAAAAAAAATGTAATCTCACATCCTCAGAACTTCTTCCCAAAACTCACAAGTTAAATGAACTAAAGTCCTTGTGACAAATCTGCTAGAAACGCCATTTCATTTAATGGCATTCAAGCCTTTAAAATTCTTACCCACCAGGAGCTAGAGGATATACCTCCTAAGAGAGAGAATGAGTGTCTTAGGATAGTCTTTTTGTTCCTAGTGCTCTGGAGTGATGGGGAGGTGCCTCATGTTGGAGGAGTTGGGCTGGGCCCTCTATGGCCCTGCTATGGATTGGAGATGCAGATCCCTCAGTTTGGGGGAATTTAGTCATATTATTTATTTAATGATTCCCCACCACTACCAACACACACACACACACACACACACACACACACACACACATACATATGTGCCCAGTCTCTTTCTGGAACATTTATTATTGAAACGTTGAACTTTCTGGAGCACCTAGATGGCTCAGAGGTTGAATGTCCGCCTTTGGCTCAGGTTGTGATCCTGGGGTCCTGGGATAGAGTCCCTCATCAGGCTCCCTGCTCATCGAGGAGTCTGCTTCTCCCTTTGCCTATGTCTCTGCTTCTCTCTGTGTCTCTCATGAATAAATAAAAAAGTCTTAAAAATAAAAATAAACATTGAACATCCTGAACCAATACTATAATTTTACAATCTGTTCTCTTTTCCCAATGTCTCTTTTATTTCATGTTTTGCTTTCTGGGAGATTTGATTCACAATCCTCCACTGAGTTTTTAATTCCTGCTTTCGTATTTTTAAATTCCAAGAATGCTTTTTTATTCTGTCAATGTTCATTTTAAGAATAGCAACTTAGTCTTGTTTCATGGTTGCAGCGTCTTGTCTCTCTCTAAGGCATACATTCTCCACAGGAGCTCTATTGGCCCCCAAAGGCACAATAATTGGTTCTTTGCGGGTTGGCAAAAAAAATCTTAGATATTACAGTGCTTTGTAGCCCTTCAAAACTCAACCCTCTCTGACCAAATCACATTCTTCAATATTTAATTTTTCTCATGAGGGAAAATAAAATTGAATTCTGATTTTTCTCCTTAGAGGTGTGATTTAGGTTTTCATGTCCCAGCATAATCTCTATGAATTGATCTGGGTTCTCTAGAAAAACAGAAACCAATTATATAGAGATACATACAAACAGCGTATATCTTGAACAATGCAGGGGCTAGGGGTATCAATCCCTTGTACAGTAAAAAATCTGCAATAGCTTTTGACTCCCCCAAAACTTAACTACTAATAGCTTACTGATGAGCAGAAGCCTTACTGCTAACAAACAAGCGATTAACACATATTTTGTATGTTCTCTGTATTCTATACTGTATTCTTGCAATAAAGTAGGCTAGAGAAAAGATGTTAAGAAAATCATAAGAGAAAATACATTTATAGTACTGTGCTGTAAAAAATCTGCATATAAATGAACCCATACAGTTCAAACCCCTGTTGTTTTAGTCTCAACTGTGTGAGGGAGAACACTACTACAAGGAATTGGCCCCCACACTTATGAAGGCTAAGAAGTCTAACTAAGGTCTGCAGTTGGCAAGCTGGAGACTCAAAAGAGCAAAAAGCATAGTTCAAGTCTGAGCCCGAGGCCTAAGCAGGGTTGTCAGTGGTTTAAGTTTCAGTCTGAGTGTGAAAGCCGGACAAGAACAATGTTCCAGGTCAAGACAGTCAGGCAGAGAGAAAGAATTCATCTTAGCCTTTTATTCTCTTCAGACTTTCAACAAACTGGATGAGGCCCACCCACACTGGGGAGGCCAACCGGCTTTACTTGGTCTACTGACTTAAATACTGATCTCATCCAGCAACGGCCCCACGACACACCCAGAAAAAATGCTTATTGTTTATTTTTTAAAAGATTTTACTTAT